TCTACGTTGAGGATGATTTTCTAAAATTAACTCATCTTTTCCTTCTCATTTCTAAAGTTCGATTTTTTCCCTAAAAAAAGTTCATGTTTCTTTTGTGCAACTTTCAGTCTAAAGTTCAGGGGATTTTGTAAATTTTACCCTTCAATTCCAGTGATTTTTTATTTTTGGGTTAGGAATACTTGTGAATGACCCTGGGCTGTGTATCCATTTGTGCATACTTTGGAATTCAGGACTTCCAATGCAAAACCGGCAGATGAGGAACCAAAAACCAAGCATCATGCTGCATGTATACCCTCTAAAATGTGGAACTTCTCAGCAAATAATTTTTCTATGCACGTGTATAATGAAGGGTCATAAATCCAAAATCTCTCTATACCACCTATAGCTTTTGGCATTCAGTTGCCAACAGAAAATCACACAAAAGCACAAAAATTAGAGTAAAGTTTGAGCAACATACACAAATCACAATAAGGTAATATATTTCAATTCATCCATTTCACTGCCATAGAAGAATCGTGTAAAGATGATTAATACAGTCAAATCTACTAATTAATGTCGTTCATACATGAGCAACCTTTTATTCTCTGCATATCTATTATTCATCACAATCATCTTATTCTTCGCGCATTCTGTCGTGGAGCCTATGGAACCACAACACCTGAAAGCAATAACAGATATCAGTAACGTAGCAAAATTTTCAAGAAATCAATAGTTCACTTACTTCCACAGTGAGTTCCATGAGGCAGAGAATGACCACAGAAGCTAGCCACCATGATCGCCAGAGGCACGCTAATATTGTTCTCGGTATCAGGAGTAACCTTCGAGCATGCGCAGACAAGGTCAGCCTGTGCAATAGTCTGGCAACAGTCGTCCGATGGGAGCGTTGGCTCTATGCCTTTCTTCGCAAAGGCAGTGCACTTGTCGCTCAGCTGAGTCCAGTCGTTGTCGCAATCTGCACTGGCATTGTCAGCAAATAGTGAAGCTGTGATGATGGTGAAAGCCAAGAGCAGGAAGCAGGTTTTGATTAGCTGGGCCATTTTTCTAGAGATTTTGTGCTGATTTGTTTGTCTTATGTTCGTAGTTGGTGGATGGTATTTATGGAGGAAAGGGGCAGTTGAGAATAGAGTTTGTTCCTTTTGGAATTGTGTCATGGCATTTACATGGTTGAGGAAATTAAGGGTACTTCACACTAGCAGTGTGAACGTATTTCCAACAGGAAGCAAAAACATATTCATATGATTTTGTGGACAGAACGTTATCGCAGATTTTGGGTACTAAGTCTCCAAATTAATCCCACTCAAAATCCACCCGATGTCCTGTTTGTTAGGTAAATTGCATTTTGATGCATGTATGGAATTTTGAAAAATATGTATTAAAAATCTTTTTTTTTGCACAATTGGTGTTAACAAGTATTTGCATGAGTGATAAAATCCAAACAAATTTTTTTGGTTACAGATGAATGTCATGTAGATGTATGATTAAAATCACAAATTCGGATGAATTCAACATAATTTAGGGAATCACACTTGGTGCATCTATATGAAAAACCCAAATTAGTGGCATGGAAAATATCAAACAAATAATATACTTGATAAAATCTCTAAAATTTGACCTTATAAGTCCTTTTTTTCAATGCACAGCTCACCAAATACGTACATGAAACAAACATCCCTAAACATCTAAGGAATAGCACCAGAACCATCACCTCCCAATTGCTGTACCAATCTCTACATTGATGCTGTAGTCAGCAAATTTCAGAACATCTCGACCCAAAAAAACCTATGGGGATGTTTTTGATGCGAAGGCAATAGTTGATGTTTTGGAAGAAATCATGCGAAAGCGGGACAATTAAAGCAAAACGGGTAATTTCAGATAGATTTCCAGATGCAACTTTGGAGGACGATATCTTTTGACTCGCTGCATAGAATCCTTATTATAATATTGTTTTGGTGGAAATTTGGTTCTTTCATTAACGGACTCATTACAACTTCAGTCGTTATAATGATCTCAACAAATAAAAATAAAAATTACAACTTTCTTAAAACACACATAACGGACGTTTATCACCCGCTGTTTGTATGGGATCTTGGCCTGTCCCGGGGTTTATCCATGGACCACCGACTGATCAGATCCAATATAAAGATTTTGTTGCCTCGCAAAGGAGACAAGAAACTAAAGTAACTATCTCGACAAAGCGAGATAACCACTCTTCTCAAGAATCGCAGCTAGGTACGATCTCAAGGAAATGGATGAACGGATGCAGATCTCTCGAACTCTTCCTTTCCTTATGTTGAAGAACTCGCCGAGATCTCTTTTTCCTCTCTGAAATTTGTGCTCCTCACTCTTCAGTTCGACAGGGTTTTATCGATGCTCGAGAATTCTCGATCTGTGTAAATAAAGACCCTAGGGCTGTATTTATAAGCTTCAGAAGCTCGGTTTTCGGATAAAAACGAATTATTTGATCTTATCCTCAGTTGTAACCACTTAATCACGTTCAAAGATAACTCCAAATCAGTTGGAGAGGCTTTGGATCAGAATCGGGGCAGTTAACATTGAAGAAACGGCGAAAAAGCAGCATTTTTGGGGCCGAGACTGTCTCGGCCCTGGCCAAGACACAAATGTGTCTTGGCCTCGGTCGAGATGCCATTTTTCCCATTTTGATTGTTTTTGTCGTAACTTTCCGATCCGGTTTTGAAACGACGTGATTCGAAGTGCGTCAGAAAGCCGGGGAAAAGATATACAATCTTCCATGGGTGAATCATACGTGGAGTGGATGAGACACGAATGACGCCTCATCTTTTGTGAGTTAAATGTAATTCCCGATTGGATCGTTTCTTTTTGCTATTCTGTCGTCCCGTTGATTTGTACTCTTTATTGACTAGCTTCATTCGCTTGTCGACGTTAGATAATCCTGTTTGACTTGGATAATAACATTTATCATCTTTTCTTCATCTCGAACTATGTACGGGAACACGTAGGTAATTTTTTACGCCTACAGATACCCCCTCAAAAGTGTTCCAGTCTCGTTTTTTTATAGAAGAGTCTGTAATACTTTGAATGTGATAGGTCCAACCTTCAGTCGGCGTAAAAGGACCTATAATTGGCTTCAGTTTTTGACTTCTGTAATTTTCAGTCTACTCAGTATTTTGTCGAATAGCTAAAATTCTTCCGGTGCTGCGTTTATCGTCTGACCATTGTAAAGTCTTGAATTGAAACTGTTGTGTTTAACTCATATCGTTGAGTTGACGTTGAACCGATTATCTTCGTCGAGGATTCACACCCGAGTTACGGTTAAAATCCTCGGAATTATCCTTTGACTTAGGATTAATTCAAGCCTTGTTTCGGCGCAAACTGTTGAAGCATTGACCTTCATCGCAACACATTGACCGGTGTTGACCCACGTCTACGCGTTGACCGACGTTGACCTTCATTGTAATGCATTGACCGGCGCTGACTCATGACTACGCGTTGATCGTCGTTGACCTTCATTGCACCACGTTGATCGGTGTTGACTTTTATTGCATCGTGTTGACCGACGTTGACCTTCCTTGTAACACGTTGATCGGTGTTGACTTTCATTGCAACACGTTGACCGCCATTGACCTTCATTGTAATGTGTTGACCGCTATTGACTTTCATTACAACACGTTGACTGGCATCGACTCACAACTACGTATTGACTTTAATCACAACACGTTGACCAACATTGACTCACGACTATGCGTTGATCGGTGTTGACCTTTATTATAACACGTTGATCGGCATTGACTTTCATTACAACACGCTGACCGACATCGACTCACAGCTACACATTGACTTTCATTACAACGCGTTGACCGACATTGACTTTCGTTACAACGCATTGATCGGCGTCGACTTAGAGCTACGTATTGACTTTCATCGTAACGCGTTGACCGGCGTTGACTCACGGCTTCGCGTTGACCGGTATAAACACAGTTTATACTTGTATGTTGACTAGAGTCTACACAGTTTAGGCTCTTAAGGCGTTGGAGTGGGGAGGTCCGGTTTATACTCATATACTCATGGGAGTTTCGAGAACCAGTTTAACCTCGTGTACCAGTCGGGGGTTTAAGGAGATGCAGTTTAGACTTGTATACTCATCAGAGTGTGAATACGAGCTTCAAATACACCATAATGGCCAATAACGAGTGAATACAAACCAAATATAATATTTTAAATGTGTGGGACCCTATTTTAGGCTCAGGATATAATTTTGGGCTCGGGACCGAATCTTAGGCTCGAGACAAAATCTCGGGCTCGGGACAAAATCTTAGGCTCGGAATAGTCTCGATTTGGTCGAGACAGTCTCGACCAAACAAGAGAGAGAGAGAGAGAGAGAGAGAGAGAGGGTTCATGTGAGAGAAAGAAGATAAAGGAGAGAGAAAGAGGAGTAGGCCAGCCTAGGGCATGGGTGTAGGGTTTTGTACAAGGGTCTTTTGTGTCCCCCTCTCTTTCCTCCAAAACCCAATTTTGAACTCCCTCATATTCTTATCTTCTTCCTCCTCCAAACCTATAACTTCCAAACTCAAAATTTTCCTCTCTAAGAACTCCTAAAAGCCTCAACCTCTTAGCCTTTAAAACCCCTCATATTTTGGCCGAAAATCAACTTCGAGCTCAAGGGTTTTTCGCATTGGATTCTCCTCCTTCAAGTTTGGGTTGTCAAGCTCTCGATTGGGTAAGCTCCTCTCTATAATCTCTTTCTTGTATATTTAATTTGATTCGAGAGAGTGATTTGGACCCTTGTTCTTGGTTTTGAGTTAAAGATTGAAACTTTAGTTTGGTTGTGAGTTTGATGGCCGAATTTTGGGTATGAGGACGATGGGTTTGGCCAAATTTTTGATGAGCTTGGGTTGTATGCATGGCAGAAATTTTGTGAATGGGGGATGATGATGTAGCCGAAATTTTGTGGGCTTGGGTTGCATACCCATGGCTGAAGTTTTGAATGAGGAATGATGATGTATTTTGCTCATTTTTTGAGCTTGGGAAGGATGGGTGTAATGACAAAAATTTTGGAGGGGGTTATATGCAAAACGGCCAAAATTTTGGTGTTGAGGGTGATAGGTTTTCCCCCTTTGATCATAATCAAAATTTGAATGTACTCATGGCTAGCATTGAGCCTTGAGCATGAGGGGTATTTTGGGTATTTCGCCCAAAATTGATCATGAGGGTCCTGAACGCAATTTGAACCCATTGTTAGCATGTATGGATCCCGTAGGTTTAATTAAACTTTAACCGTAAAATTCCATTTTATTTGCAGGATTTTTTAGTTAAAGTTCATAATTTTCCTTTTTAAATTCGGGTTCTTGAATTTGAGATTGTACCCGATTCGTTGATTTTCATTGCAGGTTAGCCATGTCTCCACGATGATCACGCTTTCATAGGAGTCGCTCCATTTCTCAACATAATGAGAAGGAGGCTCCTGTAGTTTCTTCATACGAGGGTGAGACTTCATAACTTTTGGTATTCTGTGTATTGCACCCTCGTTTGTCTCATTGGCGAGTCAATCGAGAAGAGCTGATATCCTCCTTCGCGGGGATTGAAGCTTTGAGAGGCGTTTGTTGCTTGGCCAACACACGTCTTTAGGCATTCAGGGTGATTTTAGGTTATGTTGCATCGTTTGTCTCCTTGGTGAGTCAATCGAGAAGAGCTGATATCCTCTTTCGCGGGGATTGAAGCTTTAAGAGGCATGTGTTGCTTGGCCAATACACATTTTCAGGCATATAGAATGATTTCATGCTGTATTGTACTCTGTAGGGCGGGGTATATTGTCACGTTACTTGCGCAACAATGTACATTATCCCTCTTGTGTAAAACAGTTGAAATCGTCTCGTCGGTATGACAAAACAGTGGTCCTATCTGGCTAATTTGCCAGGTGAGTTCAACTCCTCGTTTTATCTTAGAAATAATCTTTCTCATTGTGTGTTATTTGTTTCAGTTGAGTTCTCGACGGGTAGCTTCCCACTTCACGCGACGAGTGGTAATAACGGAGAGACCTTCACTGCTAATGTTATGGGACAACTTATTGGCTGACTCCTCAGTTTGCTCCAGATGGGCCTAG